GTGTGGAAATGCTATTTATTGGAGACTTAAATCATAGGAATTTTTTGATCTATGCCCTTAAAAGTATATTTATTATATATTTTTGTTATTAATTTATATAAAAAAATAAAATATGACTTAAATTTTATCAACTATTGAATTAAATTGTTTTACGTGCCATTAGTGTTAAAGATAAAGTTTATTTTTGTAAATTTTTTATATAAGTTAATGGTAAAGATTGCAATAAATGCACTTTTAACTTTTATTTGTATGGAGTATGTTAGAAAAACTCCAAATCTTATTCTATTGAAATTTAATTTTGCATTTTCAATTTGGTTGAAGCTTGGCCTAATCAGATTAATCTTCTATGGGATATCTACAATGCCCCAATCCTACATATGAAAAAGACAATGATTGTAAGTGATATATAAATATGAAAATCAAATGCAATTAATAACTTGAGTGTGAGTTTGTGTGGAACTAGTAGTAGGCCTTGGCCAAAGTAGTTTCAAGATTAGTCCATTTTTAGCTCGGGGCCGGAGAAGTAAGACAAGAAAGATATCTGGGCTCTTAGTGTTTTTCTCGTACAGTTGTTCTGTCCATTTGGTTTTGGCATATATTTCCAGGTGTTTGTGCAGGGTAGTGATCATTTAAGAACATAACAGGTTTTTGAGCTCATACAACTTTATTCATTCTTTTAGTTTAAAAGTAGAATAGACGACTGTGCTTTCTCTTTATGTGATCTCTTTATGTGATTAGGGTTCTGTTCCTTTATGTTTTTACAGATGCTGTGAAAAATTTCTAGAAGTAGTTCACAATTCAATCTAGCTGCTGTGAGCTGTTTTGTAGCACTGGTACGTTTGGGAATAGACATTTTGGTGGTGTGATAATGCAAAATGGTGTTTATAATTAGGCCAAGGATGGAAATGCTGATGACTAGAAACATACACCATGCTACTTTATTAGGCCTGGTAAAAGAACAGAACATGGATAGGTGGCATGTGGATAAATTATATGTCAAATACAGATCCTGCCTTAGGCAAGAAACAGCTACGTGTATATATCTATTATCTACCCAATATGTCTTCATATTCAACCTGTCCTACATACAAGACAATTTTCAAGGGGAATCGAATCAAACCCATAAGACGACTCTCCTAGCTAAGTGAGGATACGGTGATTGCATCAACGACAAGTACTTTAGTGAATCAGAGTGTTGTCTGCATCAAATTGCGTTCATGTTCAATGTTAAAGTTCTGTCACCAAGAGAGTAGGTTTGACATAAATTCTAAAACACCTCTTCCTTCTCAAAGCGTTTTTCTTTATATTTTGCAAATGAGAGCCTCTCTTGATCGGTCATAGTGGTCAAACACTATTTCATGGGTCTTAAGCCCAAGACAAAACTCATTCAAGAATTAGTCTTTCAATAGAAGATTATTTGTACTGAGACAAAATTAAATAATGAGAAGTTTTCACGTGATATTAGTGTCATAAATGAGGTTGTAAACACCCTATAACTACTATTAAGAAAGGTAAATACTCTCTCTCATATTCCCTCTCTTGTTCTTAGGTTAAAAGCCTCCCTTTTTAGAATTCGCAAATTATTATTGACTTAAGTGTCAAGTGTCTCCCGAGAAGACATCCTCATATTTTACAGGTCCTCTGAAGACACCGGCTGCTACGACCTCGAACTGGAGCCTGGTTGGCAATCCAAACCCAACTGGAACAATTTCTTCTTCAACTATTGTGTTGCTTTTGTGGATCCTTTTTAATAGAATAGTTATATAACAACACAAGTCATGCGGAACCTTGCCACCTTATTGCAAAAAAATCCATTGAAAGCCTCTAATGCAGGTTTCTGATACCTAAAAGCTTTAATTTAAGATGGACCACTGAAGGGTTTAGACCTTAGAGGGGAATTTTGAAAAGTAAAACTTGCTTGGAAGTAGACTGCACAGGATACAAATTTCGCTCTTTATTAAATATAAAAGATACAAAAGACTAATGTTATTAGAAGGATTTGTGTTTATTTGAATATGGAAGAAACATAGAAATTCAAGTAACATGTATAATGTTCTAGGTGAGTTAGAGGATCAAATCGACATGTACTTAATGCATTTAATTATTTGCATGGTTCATTGTGTAAATAAATTAGTGCTATTGTTGCACTTTAGGTTATTCATGGGGTCCGCATACTTTTTTTTTTATATATTATATGAAAACACAAATCAATCTTAATTATCCTAAACAAAAAGTTGCCTCCCATATTATAGTCCAAACTACAAAAACACTACCAGCCATTCTATTCCCTTAAGCATCTCTTACCAATCAATAATTACAATGTAAACTGCAAAATACTCTTTTTTTTTTTTTAGGGCAAAATATATACCTTTGTGTGTGTATATATATATAATGTGTATTTTAGAATGGACTGTATTTTTTTACAGTTTAGATACTTAAATTACTAGAATAACTTTAATAAAACTGCTTTCCATGTTCATTTATTGGTGGTATCTTAGTAATTTTAGTGCCCCATATTACACAAAAAAAGGTGCAATTCATTTTGGAAAACACCTACCTCATGTATATATATATATAGGAAAACTGTATATCAGCTCCAACTCCAACAAAAAAAAAAATTTGGGAAAACTTAAAATTATGGATTTTAATAACTGAATTAATAAGTGTTGATGGACATGTTAAACTGAAGGGTATACCAATCATTTTTTATTATATATATTGGTTATTGAGGACCATATATGAAGAATTTGAATAAATTAAATAAGAGGACAATGCTTGATGCAAATTCTAACACTACACAACACATTCATTAAAAAATCATTATTTTCTAGTCTAGAATTAACCTTATGCTTGGGTCGAGGGGAATGAAGGCGAAGGGAATTTTTCCCCTCCATTGCCCCCTTTCCCCTCCATTGTGCACCCTTCTCTTCCTCTCATTTAGATAAATAACTAAACTAAAAGAAAAAAATAAAGGGAATTTTTTTCCCACCCCTCCCCTTTAATTTTTCTAATAAACAAATAAAAAGTTTTTCCCCTCCCCTCCATTCCCCTCAATTCAAACATACTATAAAAGTAAGCAAACTTAAAGAAGCATCTAAATAGGCTATACTTTAATTCCTTTGTTCCAAAATAACTTCTATTTTTTTATTTTGAATTTGTTGTTTTTTCATTTTTCAAGGTAGATAAATATTCTTTCTACTTTCATTCTATCATTATCCATTCATTTTAATTAAATATCCAATTACAAAAAGTTTATTCTTATCTTTTACTTATTTTTTAAGAGTATTATAAACAAAGCCAAATATTGTTCCCAAATTTTTAATTTAGGAAAAAAAATAAAAATATGATAGTTATTTTGAAACAGAAGAAGTAGTTATATTATATTTTAATAACTAAAACAAAATAAATGTTAGAAAATATATTGAACTGAATCTACCAATTATTATCCTAACCAAGAAGGGTCGCCATTAAATTGTTTACCGATAAATTAAAGATAGAGGTTTTTTTTTTTT